CCTCGGCTGCACCTCATCTGCACTTCGGCGGCACCTCGGCGGCACCTCGGCGGCACCTCGGCGGCACCTCGGCTGAACCTCGGCTGCACCTCATCTGCACTTCGGCTGCACCTCGGCGGCACCTCGGCGGCACCTCGGCGGCACCTCGGCTGAACCTCGGCTGCACCTCATCTGCACTTCGGCTGCACCTCGGCGGCACCTCGGCGGCACCTCGGCGGCACCTCGGCTGAACCTCGGCTGCACCTCATCTGCACTTCGGCTGCACCTCGGCGGCACCTCGGCGGCACCTCGGCGGCACCTCGGCTGCACCTCGGCTGCACCTCGGCGGCACCTCGGCGGCACCTCGGCGGCACCTCGGCGGCACCTCGGCGGCACCTCGGGCGGGTAGGCGAAGAGCTTCTCCTTTGTCGACGCGGCGGGCGCCGAGCACCCGAAGACGTCAAACTTCCCTCCCGGCGCCTCCGCCCTCCCTGCCGGCGGGGTTGGGAAGCTTGCGGTGAGAGCTGGCCTCGCACCTGCCCCCCGCAGGCACCTTTGTCCTCCTGGCCGACGACTTCACCAACTCTGGCTCGACGCTCTTCGGAGGCGCGGAGGTGATCCGCACGCACGCCGACGGCGCAATCAAGGTGTGTGTGGGGAGAGAGCGGGAGACGCGCGTAAGTCAGGGGAAGGAGGGAGGTGGAGGGGCAGCATGACGCACTCAACGCCAGGACCTCCTCCTGCACGCCGGCAGACCAGCCGAGCCGACACCCCCGCCCCCGCCGCCGCACAGGTTTGCGCGTACGTCTCGCACTACGTCGCAAAGTACGACCGCGCCACCGTCTCAAAGTTCGTCGACAAGCTCTACGCCGGGGGCGCTCTCGACGAGTTCCACTGTGCGCGCGAGCCGTCAAGCCCACACCCTAAGCCGCAGCAACCCAGACCCCTCCGCCGTTCTCACCACCCACACCCTACCACCTCCCGCCTCCTCCTCCTCCTCCCCCCTCCTCCTCACTCCTCCTCCCTCCTCCTCCCTCCTCACCCCTCCTCACCCCTTCTCACCCCTCCTCACCCCCTCCTCTCCCTCCCCCGCTGCCTCCGTCAGACATCCGACTCGATTCTCAACGTCACCGCTACGGCTCCAAGGAGGATCCCTCTCACCAGCCACACCTTGACTGCGACGCATGTGACTGCTGTAG